CAACTTTTGATGATGAACATCACAGCACATTAGTGTCTACAAGACATTACAGAGCTCCTGAGGTTATCTTAGGTCAGTAGAGACTTTCAGACCTTCTGACAGCTTATTACAGTTCATTCAGATGTCTTTATTTTGTAAACTGGAGTGGTTGCTCATGGTTCTAACAATTCAGTCATCTCTTACAGATGGTGCTGTTAAATTTTTTGAGAGTAAGGGGTAAAAGAAATATTGTAAGAACACAAGTCCAAACACTTTCCTTTCCCTCTTTAACAACCAAAGTTTGGGAAGAGGTATGGAGGGAGGGAAATAGGCATCAGCATGAAAACTGTGGATATCCTTTGTGGATGACAGGGTTTGAGAATATATTAAAAAGTAAACCAACTTCGCCTGTTTTGCAGCACTGGGATGGTCGCAGCCTTGTGATGTTTGGAGTATTGGATGTATTCTAATTGAGTATTACCTGGGGTTTACAGTTTTTCAGGTGTGTATGTGAATTTAAATCAAATGTTTTTGTTACAGACTTCTGACTTTGATCTTTTAATAATATCTACCTATCCAGTTAGTTTGAAAGGCATAACCTGACAAGTTTCAAGTATTGCAGAGATGAGGTTGTAAAGGCAGCATGCATATATGAAAATATGATGGTGTGGACATCTCCCTCAGACTATTTAAGATACCTACTGTAGCTTCTTGGCTAATGAAACATGTCTAGAGTTTGAGTGTGCTGCTGAAATCAGGAATAAAGTAAACATACTCATACAAAACTTCGCGTGGTGTCTAAAGATAATATGGTGATGCCCTGTCAAGCATATTGTTAATAGATGAGTGGTGTTATCAAGTGGCGGAGCGTAGAAAAATCTGAGTGTGCTCATTGCTTTTTTTCCACACAGACACATGATAGTAAAGAACACTTGGCAATGATGGAAAGAATACTAGGGCCTCTACCAGCTCACATGATCAAAAAATCCAGGTAAGTACAATATAAAAGGAGTAAGTTGCCTTTATAATATTTCTATTATAAAAGGAATTTTAAAGGTTCCATTGTTAGTTGTGAGCTTCTGAAAATGAAGAAAGACTTCCAGGCTTGTTACCTTGCTAGTCTGTTGTAAGAAATTGTCAGCTTTAGCTGAATTAAATAGTCTCAACTATCTTAAAATCATTTTTCTTGTCATGCAGAAAACACTATTTTCACCATGACCAACTGGACTGGGATGAACACAGCTCTGCAGGTAGATACGTCAGGCGACGCTGTAAGCCTTTAAAGGTAAGACTGAGGATTTTGATTATTGTATTAGATTTGTAATTGTGAAAGATCTCTCAAATACTTTTTTTTTCTCATTTCAGGAATTCATGCATTGCCAAGACACAGATCATCAAAGTCTGTTTGACCTTGTTCGCAGGATGCTAGAATATGATCCAGCCAAAAGAATTACTCTTGATGAAGCTTTGCAGCATCCTTTTTTTGAACCATTAAAAAAATAAATTCAAAGATCTTTTACACTTCTCCAAGGAGATTTCCTAGACTGTGTCAGTCAACAGAGGTTGCATGAAACTTTTGTAAACTTTAAATTATTTTGTACAGTTAAGTCTGTAAATATTTACATATGTTTTGTATAACTGTCATGTTTATCTTGTTGAACAGTTGTAGTCTTGATTATGGATATCAAAGTGAAAAATAAAGTAATTTTCATTTTTGAAAATAGTTTTCTCTTTGAAACTTAATTTTCTTCCTGTAGGTAGGGTTAGTTAATCATTTGACTTTTGGGATGAGTAGTCTGTGCACTAGCTAACCAAGTTTTTGAAGTATGAAACATTTTTGGCTAGCTTTCTTTAAATGTTAGACCCAAGATTTCAAGGGCTATGCTTACCAAAGAATATGGTATATAATAGCTTTTTCTAGTATTTGGAAGCATGATTGAAGATGGGAGCTTAAAATCTAAGTAGATAACCTCTTGTGGGTCCCTTCTTCCCAAAACTTCCTTTTAAACAGCGTATGTTGCTCTTTTAAAAGGAGTCTAGTTAGAGACTGGAAACTCAGTCTGGTATTCTTAGTGGTAAATATTTCCAGGTAAATTTATAGGTAAGGATGGAAAGTAGCATTTCATATTTTCAGTACTGTTTTAATTCACTTATCACAGAAATGCTAGCTTTTTTTTTTTTCTTTGAAGGACTGTACTGTCCCTGGAAAAAAGAAAAAAGGCAGAGAAATGGTTGTGGTGCATTTAAGCCTTTCTCTTGCAGTAGTAACAAGATAAGCCTGAAGTCTTCAACTACATATTTTTGTGGAGCTTGATCTGTAATTACTGATAAGTAACCTTGACAACAGGGAAGCACTTGTCATCAGGCTATAATATAGGAGGGAGGAGGATGGGTTCTGTGCTGTAACTTCTGAACTTTAGTGCTGAGTGGTACTGCTTCATAAGCCTCTTTAATCTACTTTCTTACGTAGTTTTTGCTCTCTTATGTTTAAGTTACTGTTTTCTCAGTCTTTCTCACTGCTGTACGGGAGGGATGGTAGGGCTCATCCAGGCTGTCTGCCAGGTCTAGATGCAATTTGCAAGTTTGAGCCATTTATTGCAGTCTTCGGCATGCAAGTCTTAAGGAGAGGAACAGTAAATTGTTTCAGCTCTGCAGGAGCCTCACTTCAGGTTCTGTGCTTGCTGTGCAAGTCCTCAAACACAGTAAGGTTTTAAACTGGTGTCTGCGTTCCTCTGATGTGTGGGGCAGGGAGAAGGCTTAATTTGCAAGAGGCTCCAGACATGCATATCTCTGAGCTGGGGAGAGACTACAGCTGAGGCAAGGCTTTGAAAGCTTATCTTCTGTAACCAGTGCCACCTACAGTGCTTGATTATATCTCATAATACAGACACCCCTCTTCCTGGCTTCTTTGCATCATTGTTTCTTCTCTGTGTGACAGAGCTCAGCAGTTGGTACCATCCAGGTCAGCAGTGCCTTTGGTGGGACTGAGGAGGACGGCAGTGAATTTCGGCCCTGGCTTCCTCCACCAATACTTTCCATCCCACGCTTTTCTCAGGAGCAAAGCAGGTACTTGGCTGAGCGTTTCAGCATACACGGTACAAACCAAAACAGTTCTATCAAAATTAGAAAGTAAGGGATTGTGTATCCTTCCTGAAGCAGTACTTGAAGCTTCTGCTAATGTAGTTACTAAAACACATTGCACTTGCTAAAGGAGATGTGTGCTAGAAAAAGTATGTGCATGTACACATATGTGTACACACTATCCTGTTGAAATTCACTCTCCTCCTTGTAAACTTTAAAAATAATTCTATGACAGTACAACAACTGCAGCAAGGTGCCAAGTAGTTTTGCAGGCCTTACAGCGTTGCATAAATGAAACTTTTTAGTTTAAAAGGAGGATGGGCACAGGTCCAACATCGCTGGGCTCAGTAGTGGAGCAGCACAGAGCAGTCTGTAGCTGAGGAACAGCTGGGTGCCAGGAGCTCTGTCCTTAATTGGTCTGATTTCTCCTCTTTGGGCTGCCCTCCATGGCTTTATCTTCACGGGGAACAAGATGTTCACATACACACCCCCTTGTCACTACATGAATGTAGTTGGCACAATTTGTAATCTCTGCATATTTGGATCAAGCTAATGCTAATTGCCTGTCCCTGTTGGTAAATAACGACGAGATCTATTTACCTCTTTCTCTGTGCTTTTGATTTTTAGCTACCGTACCTAAAACAAGTTTGTAAACCTGCAAAGTGTTGTCAGGCAGAGGCAGAGCAGCCGTTTGCATCTCTGTAACAGGTCAGTTTTATATTTCACTAAGCATAGATGATGGGAGAAAATTAAGCTGTCTGTTAAGTGAACAAAACATGTTTTGTAAGGTGCAAACAGCATACAAAATCCAGCACCTCAAAAGCTGAGTAGGACAGGGGAAGACTTGCACTGGGGGTGAAACAGATGAAAGAGGTGAGGAGGTGTGGGGCAGAGGGCTTGGCTGCAGTAGCCACTTATCCTTTTTCCTCTTACATTTTCTAGATGTCCCTGTTGTAAGGAGGGCTTGGGCCATGTGCATGTGTTTTAAGGCAAGATGCTCTGCAAAGCTCCCCCAGGTTGATAGCACAGTGTCCGTGCACTGAGAGATCAGCAGCAAAGTCTCAGCAGGTGTGTAGAAAGGAGACAGGGAGAAGGGAGGGAAGAGGTGGCTCATAATAACCTGGCATTTTCCTTCCTGTGTCTTCAGGCATGTGAAGGGCAGGAAACAGTGGTTAGCGAGTGATATAAATTTACCTGGCTAGCTGGTTCGGAAGTAGTGGCTACAAAAAAAGCACTGCGTGTACACCAGGGCAGTCTGGCTGTGTGCACGGGTGTGTTTTATTAACACAGTTGCTGTTATCACTCCTAGCAGTTTTCTCTAGTGCTGTCTTAGGCTTCACCTGTCTGTTCCAGAAGTCAGCGTTACGTGTACAAGGGTGGGTCTGGGGCCAAGAGGCAAAGAGCAGATCTGGCTTTGTAGAGTCTAGACAAGCGTTGCGTTACCTGAGGCTGTTTTATAGGTGAGTCAAGCGTTGATGTGATGCAATCTGTAACAGAAAAAAAGACAAGGAAGACTTTGGCGAAGTCTGGGGCTGCTTAATGTTGTCTGTGAGCACAGCTTCCCTGCTTCAAAGGCTCCCTAAAGCAGCCGGGACACTTCACTGCCATTCAACCCGTGCGTTACCAGGCACGCTGGAACACCGCTGCGCTTTGCGGGTGCTGCCTCTTCCCTCAACCACCTCCCAACCCCAGCACGGAAAGGGAAAAAGAAGGAGAGGGGTCACACAACATCCCCGGCCCTTCCCCGCTCCGCCGGGTCCCCAATTAGCAGCGGGCCGGGGCCGGGACCCGCTGGAGGGCGCCAGCTCCGCGGGCTGCCGAGCGCAGCGGCCCCGGGGCCGGCCCCGTCCCGCAGCTACCGGGGGGGCGCTGGGGGCGGCCGGGAGGGGCGAGGGGGACACCGTGGAGGGGGGTTGGGGGGGACGAGGCCGGGCAGCTCTCCCGCAGGGGGCCGGGCAGGGCAGCGGGGGTGGGCTCTGCTGGGCGTCATCCCCCCCTCCCCTTCTCCCCGGGGAACCGGGGGGGTTGGGGGGGGGGCCGCTCCCGGAGCATCCCCCCCTTGCCCGGCTCCCCCCTCCTCCTCCTCCTCCTCCCCGCTTCCTCCGTTTAAAGGCCGGGTCCCGGCGGGGCCGAGCGGAGGAGCAGCGGCCGCTCCGCAGCCCCAGTGCCGCGGCGGGGGCGCGCAGCGCACGGGGCGGGCGCTGGATGCGGCGCCGGGGGCGGGCGGGCGGCAGCCGAGCGGCTCCGGTCCGGTGCCCGGTCCCCGGTCCCCTCCTCCCGTCCCCCCCAGCGGGTCCTCCCCGCGCGGCGGCGCGGAGCTGGGAGCGATGAGCGCGGCCGGAGGAGCCGGCACCGCGGCGGGCACCGCCACCTCCGCCCTCTGCCTGCTCCTCTCGCTCACCGCCGTGGCCGTCTGCCTGCTGCTGGGAGCCAAAACGGCGGAGCTGCAGGGCCGCCTGGCAGCCCTGGAGGAGCGCGGAGCCGCCGGTCCCGGCCCGCTGCTGGAAGCGCTGCAGCCCCGCCTGGAGCAGCTCCTCCGAGAGGTGAGTGAGGGGTGGACGGGGCGGCCCCCCCCGGGGCTCCGTGTGGCGGCGCCGGCTTCGTTGTTTCCTTAGGAAAAGTTTTTTGGGGCTTCTTTTTGCCCTTCCCTCCTGCAGAACTTTGCTCCCTCTCGTGTTCCCGGCCCGTTAGTCGGAGCGCGTCGTGGGGTGGCCCCAATGGTTTCCCAGAGAAATGCCCCAGGGGCCGTGTTTGAGACCGTCCCGCTTTCCCCCTCGTTCCACTCAATGGCAAAGGTAATCCGAGTGCTTACACGCTATTTATCCCCGGGCGCAGTGGACTATAATTTCCTCGTTAGAAATATTTGAAGATGATCCCCGTTATCTAGGCTCAGTTGCAGGGTATCAAGTGGTCCAGCAGTGCTGAGCCGATTTCTGGTGGGTAGAGAAGAGCAGTGATGGATCCCTTCACTTTCAGCCCCAAAGTTTTATGAAATTACTCATTAAAGATTTCTGTGCTGAAAGACCTCTACTTAATGAGCAGTTGTCTACACCGATGTCCTTCTCTGTAACTAAGCCAAGCCCCCGGGAGAAGTCACACTTGATCCCAGCAGTATGTTTTTCCACAGGCTGGGGCGTTGTGGCGCTTAGGTTTGGGGCTTTGCACAGGCGAGGGTGATGGGGAGGGCTCCCACCACTTGTAGGAACTTCTTGGAGATCCCACGGTCACTCTGCTGGGTCCCTGCAAACAGGAGCTCAAAACATGTGGTGGGATCCAGCATGGCTTACTGGGCTGCAGCAGGATGCTCCCGAGTGCCCGGGTCTGACATCTGGGGAGGGTTTACGCTGGTATTTTATTGCCAGCCTGCCCAGGGTGCAAGGCACGGTGCTGCACTAACATCGCTGCAGCCATGAAGCCTCAGTCATGCAAAAATGTGTTCTCCTGCAGCTCCCTCCAGCTGTGAGCAGCTCCGTGGAGCGAAAGTTGCACCGCGTGTGTGCGGGGGCTGCGTGGGGGGCAGACAGCTCTAGGGCCAGCAGGAGAAATTCTGCTGCTGCTGTGCCTTACGCTTGGAGCTGGATCCCACCGGCACCGCTGGACCATGCCCATGCTCCTGGAAACCTGGTCGCACCAATATGTCTTGATAAAGGGAAATGCTAAAAACTATTTTAGTGAAAACCCTGAATACCAGAACAGAGGGGTGCTTGTGAGGCGTAATCAGAAAATCTAGTTAGCGTCCTTTCTGCAGGCAGGAATTAGCCTGCCAGTCGTGGCAGTGGTTCTGTTCCAATTACTCCAATAACTGTGCTTAGCAATGGGAAGGGTTTCTGTGGCACTGCCTAAGATCATGTGCAACCTCTTGCTGAGATTTAGTTAAGTGTGGAAAGCTTGTTTTGTACTGGGAATGCTCAGATGGAGATTGTACAGGGGAAAATAAAGCAAAACCGCATAATTGGGTTTCTAATGCAAGAGGGAGCTTGTTGAAACGTTTAGTATAACCAAACTTTTGTCAATACCAAAAGCAAATTTTGGAAAGGGTAACAGAATCAAGGTATGCATGGTAGCCGTTGTGCTATCTATTAATCATCATTTTAAACAGGCTGATTCACTCACGTTAAGGTTTCAGAACATGCCTGTTTCTTGAGCAAATTCCTCTTCGTTACATAAGACCTCTCGCTCGTCAGGCAACTTCTGGCCTTTCTGTGCTTGGGAGTTTCTGGGGAGCGAGAGAATATTTCCATCAACATGAACATCAACTGATGCCTGGGGTCAGTTTTTTTGTTACACTCTGTTTTGGTCCTTCTTTGAAGTTTACCACAGTATTTCAGAAGTGAAACCAAAGCTCCATATGCTCTCTGTGCATGACCCCTGATACTTTGTTCTCTGTCACTGCACAAAAAGCATGACTGCATATACCAGTCTTGGGGTTTGGGAGCGTAATTTATGGAAGAACTGCACATGAAGAGCTGCAAATGCAAGACAAACATGCTGGTTTCCATTCCTCTTAGTGTTGTTTAAATGTTTGGCAAGTTAAAGAGGATAGGAAATAATAAAGGAAGGGTAAATGTGTAGGAAAGGCAATGAAAGCCGATTTGGACAACTGAAGTTTAGCTTTTGGCTCTGTGACAGGCAACCATCTAACTGTGGAGAAACTGCTGATTTAAGGATGCAGGAACTTAGCTTTCCCTCGGGTGCTCCTTTAGCTGAACGAGCTGCAGAGCCCTGGTTTGATGCTGTGTGAAACATTTCTAACAGTGTGGTCCAGCTGTGGTGGCATCTACCTCCACTTGCTCTGCAGCAAAAGCCCGAATTCAAAGCGCATCATTTCCATGCTGGAGAGAAAAAGTTAACGTGAGGATTATCGGAGTATCCAGTTGTTGTAAACAAAGCTGGACCGTTTTGTTCACAAAGGATTTATTGTCCGCAGTAGGCAGAGAGTGTCCAGATTAATCAGCTTCATGACAAGAACAATTCAATGGGAAAACAGAAGACTCGTTCCAGGATTCAGGACAGGAAAAGATCTCCTCTGACTACAAAACTAAAATGGAAGAGATGGAAGAGCTTCTTTCTTTTCCTCGAGCACCTTCATTGTCCAAATAATTTAAAACAAACACCAAATTTGAGTGATGCTTTGTAAGATCGTGACTGTAAGTGGATGCCAGAAAAGTCTTCAAATGCCTTTTTCCACAGCTGGGTCATTCTGCTCTTTGTGCTTCCCTTAGGACAACTTCTCTGTCAGTTTCTTTGTAACTGAGTTGATAACTTTCAGGACCTCTTTGCATCAAGCAGCTAGAAAGGAATGCATAGGATTTCAACAACAGATAAAACTATTTAATCCCAGGAATAAAAGGACCAGAACCTAACTCACACGTAGCCTAATTCCCGAATAGTCCACAGTGGTCAAATATTTGAACACAGACTTGGTCATCAGCTGGATAAAATTCAAGCCTGAGCACCCTGAATCCAAAAAGTACACTGAATTGTCTCTTTTACATGTCTGGATGTGGACTCTGGTTGTCAGATTGCTGGTTTCTCTTGTGGTAAATACCTTAGGTGAGATGGGATTCCCGAAGGACTTAGTTACGAGCAAAGAGGACTTGCTCCCACCCTTGCAGGGCTGCTGCTGTGCCTGAGCTAAGACAGCTTACATGTCATGGGGGTTTACTAACGCGAGCTTGGCACTGTCCTAAATGCAGGCACGAACATTTTGGTAGGCTTAGGGAGCAGGCAGAATGCGCTCACATCTGTCTACAATATGCCACATAGACATTGCTTCAGTCTGGGGAATTTTTACATGTTTTACTAGTCCCACCGATCAGTTTTTCACCTTACAGATGTAACACTTTGGGCTGGGGTGGGAGAGCACTGTGGACTCGCTGGCACTGCCCACCACACTGTCCTTCATCTCCTCATCCCTATCCTAAAGAAAACTTTCATACTCCGCGTAGCATGAATTTTAAGCTGAAAACCAGCAAAATCAGGTCACATCTGTTCTGTAAGTATCATTCTGCCACGTAACCCCCGGAGTGTTTGGAAGCAGCTTCGCATTTGATTACAGCGGGGCTTTCCCCCGGCGTTTCCCTCCTGTTGTGTTCAGTCCATGGAGCAGCAGCACAAGGGGCTCTCCAGCTCTGCTTCTGCCACCAAATTCACTGAGACGGTGCCAAAACCTGCACATGGGACTTAACAATGTCTAACATAGGACCAGCATCTGCTCCACGAACGGGCACGAATCCAGTCCATGGGGCCTGGAACAAGGGATTTCTTGGCTGTGCAGCAGGAGTCCCTACCTGCTCAGTACTAGGGCCATAGGCTAGCTGCTTGCTAAGAAACTTTTAATATTTTGAGTGCTGCTGTAGGTGTTACCAACAGAGGCTGAACACAGCAGGGTGAAACTATTGCCTCACTCCGAGGAAGTGTGATGGATGCTTTGGCTGCTGGAATGCACGCACAGCACGCGTTTAGATATAATGTATTCTCTAAATGGCTATTTTTATTCCTCCTCCAAACAGAAACTGGGTGAAGGCCTAGCTAAGCTGCGGACAGCGAGAGAGGCTCCGTCAGACTGCATGTGCCCCCCAGGTAGGTGCAGACGAATCGGCACAGCCAACGCCAGACTGCCCGGGAGCCGACGGCTTGCTGGACCGACGCTGCTGAACTCCTCTTCTGTTTTATGTATTCCCCTGTTTCAAGTAAAATGTGCTAAGAAGTGTTTTTCCAAGCTGAAGCACTCTCTTGTGTTTGAGACTATTAACTTCTTCCACTGCCTTGCTTTGGCCTGTTTACAGATAAAGGAGTTTGAGGTTTGGACAAAAGCGACATTTGGCTATAAGAATAAAAGAGTGAACAGCTTTACTCGGTTGTGAGCCCTGGGTGTTGGGCCAAAACAATTTAGAAGTAGTAACAGAATCACTGTGTCTTAATGCAAGTGTGATAATTAAAAGCTGCAGCCTCTCTCTCTGTCTTTTAGGAGGGTAGCAACTTCTCCAGTGCCTTGCTGTATGAAAGCTGTCACTGATTGTTTAAATTTCCTCCCAGAGTTTAATGAACTTCTTAAACTGTCAAAACTTCCTGTTCTGCTGTGGAAGTGCATGCTCCTTGGAAACAATAAACAGCTTAGATTAGTTTGTAAAGGAATCTCATTCTAGAAATACTCAGTAAGTGCTCTGCTGTCATACTGAACGGCATGAATGACTTCGGTCTGATGCACTTCAAACCTTTTGTGCTTTTTTTTTTTTCAACAGAAGTAGCTAAAGATGGGAGAAAGATGTGCACTGCTTTGATGGCAGGAGAATGCATGGGCCTGCTACAAAGCTTTGCAAGTGGCAGATAGTTCAATTCTAGTTTTAAAGAGAAAAAAATTGAACATTACATGTAGAAGCATTATAGACAAATGAGCAGATTTTCCTGACATCCTGGATATGAATCATACCAGAATACACAGCATTAGTGCATACTCACAGGACTAAACAAAAAAAGATGTGTTTGTTTGTTTGTTTTTGATTTAGTTTTTGTTCCCCCAGCCCCCGTAAAATTATGTGTGATAGCCTCAGAAATATTTCGGTGATGATTCTGTGCTGCTGCAGTTGCCCTAACCTGGTTTTTAAGTGGAAGGCTGCTGTGGGCATCCTGCGTACCTCTCTGCCTCGGCACCAAACCACATCAGCCGAGACACAAATGAAGCTTATTTCCAGCTCTTTGGAGACCAGTGATCATATTGGTTTTCTGCCCTCTGAAGCACAGACTGAACCAAGTCCCTTGGCCCTGTGGGCTGTATCTTGCTCCTGTCCATGTAACAGGGACACTGCTGGCACGATTAAGCGGTCAAAGGGCTTTTCCTTCGCTCTGCAGAAAGCAATTGGGATTTAAGAGCTCCTTTGTTGCCAGGCACATCCCAATTCTGTTCTGGGTCACTGGGTTTGCTTGTTTCTGTGTTTAAAAGATGGGGGAAAGAGAGGAGGGGGAAGGTTTTCCCACGTGCTGCTGAAATGCTCATTACAGTCATTAGCAACAAATGTCTAGGTAATTTGTGGGCCAAAGGCTTTTGCTCCTGGCCACCTCCGCTCCAGAGCCGAGCGCTGCACTGAGGTGAGGACTGGAGCTGAGGTGAGGACGTGCTGCTGAGCTGTCCTGATGCCTCCCAGCTCCTTTTGGAGTGAATCAAAGGGCTCTTTACACACAATTCTGTTTCTCACACCAAGTTGGCAACTAACAGTGAAGCCTCCATTCGCCTGCCCCAAAATAGTGGCCAGAAACCCCACGAGTTGAAGCCGACTCCTCACAGCGGGCTCTGTGAAGGCCATGGCGGCGGGGCCGTGCCCTCACGCCACAGCCGGGCCTCTTCAGGGAGCAGCAGTACCCACAAAGCCCCTGCAGCAAGCCTTGTGCTCGGAGCTCGCCCTGCACTCTGTATTTGTTTTGGAGAAGACGCGTTTTGCCTCAAAGTGAGTCAGTTTGGGGTTTTGGTGCTTTCTGGGAGGGCAGCAGAGGGGCAGTGAGGGCCGGGGGCCGGACAGGCGCTGAGGTGCCTGGGGCTGGTGGCCAGCAGAGGGGGCCCGGCCGTTTTGTCAGCACCATGAAGAAATCCCGATCGTAAAATACTATAACGATAATAAAGGTTTTTAAAAAGTGCTGCTGTGCCTCTGACACTCGGGATGCTCCAAAAGGTGTCTCGGTGTTTGCCATCAACACCTGTGTTTGTGGGGTATCATGGAAATGTGAAGTGATTTGTTTCGCTTTACTTATTCAACAAAAGCGGTGTGGGTGGTGGTAGGGGGGAAGTTTTGTGTTATTTTTCACTCCTTCAAAGTTTGGGCAATTCTGTGGTATGGAATGGGAGGAAAACACTTGTGGGAGATGTCCTGAGGTGAGGACTGGGGCAGTGTTGGCCCCGTGTGGTGAGGAGCAGGATGGTTTTGACCCCACTGTGGTGAGGAGCGGGGCCTTTTGGCTTCAATGCCTCCAGCTATTTTGGGGGCCACAGCCATTGCGTGCTGCTGGTGCTGGCCAGACCGAGGACAGGCTGTCCCCACATGTTGGCTCTCTGCGAAACAGCAGCTCGGTATTTTTATTATTGTTATCCTGAGCCATGCGTGTGATACTTCGCAGAGAGTTTCTGTTCCCTTACATTTAGCCTCTTCTCTGGATGGGATCCCTCATAAGATTCAGCTTAGCAGGTGCCGAACACTTGTTTACATGGCTTTTAGGACAGCCTTCAACTGAGGAGCAAGTGAAGTGGGTTAAAAGCAAGACTAAAACTTCGTGCTTGCAGATACTTTGTTCACAGTTGTGTGGCCTCTGACTGCTTTTATCTTTTTTTTTTTTTTTTTTTTTTTTTTTTTTTTGAAGGAGACTTTCCCCTCCACCCCTTGTATTTTTTTTTAGCAGTCTTTTGAAACACGCAATGTGAAGGGCTCTAGTTAAATAAATAAAACTCTTCGGGGTCCATGAGGAAGTCCCTCAGGCTTGAGGTTCTCGATGTACCATACTAGAGCCTGAGAGCAAACTTCTCCTCCTAAATCCAGTAGAAATAGATTTTAAATCAACAACAAACATAAAAAGAGGACCAAGTCCTCAGAAGATGCCCTGCCCATCCAGCTCATTCTTCATATTACAGACTGAGGGTGTGAAAGTCTCCAGCTCTTTGCGTGGCTCTAGCACTGCATCTCTCAACACGTGCCTGGTGTCTCCGCGTGCTGTATCTCCGCAGGCTTTGCACTCAGAGTTACTGAGAAGCCTGAACTCCGAATTTCCTGGCTGCCGGGTGATGCATATCCCTGTCTTCGTCTCGAGTTCACGCTGAGACAGTATCATACGCTTTTGAACGTATGTGTATATTACAAAGCAGTGTTAAATGTGCAGTGTAGTAATCTGATGTTCCAGTTAATATGTGACAAATATTTCCCAATAATGACTTGGCAACACAAAGAGGTGAGTGGTACTTCAGCCTGCAGGACGGTTCCGTTTCTTGGCAATTCAAACCATGTGTACTCAGGGAAGTCTATCACTTACAATCCTCTGTACCTCTTGCAAACTCTGGAGGCTCTCTTGCTGCGTTTTATTTATTTTTATTTATATTTATATTTCTTTTTAAGCACATGGATGGACTTTTCCCATCTTGCTGGGAAAGTTTGGCACGAAATGTTCTGTGGTTCCCAGTGACTTGAAATGTCCTGCCTAATTTTTTCTGGTGTAAATGTTGTCTTCAAGTGTCACTCGCTATCTGCCTTCTCCCCTCTTTGTCTCCCCAGGTAATTAGCACAACAGAATTTCCCTAATTGGTGGAGATCAAGGAGGAGAGGGTTCTGTTAGCTTTGTAGTCCTGACAAATGGCAGATGTTTTCCAGCAGGCCAAATGTGATACACTGAGCTCTGCTAACGCAGGCTCTTTGTTTCGCACTCGTGCGTGATAGAAGCTCTCTGTTATTTCTCTCTTTCTGTGTCTTCAGTATATGGGTCTGTAATTCTGCATGTTCAAGTCATGATTCCTTCAGAATGCTTAAATAGATATGGAAAAATATCAAGTGAAAGCAAGTGTTTCTTTCTGAAATTACCAGTGATCTCTGCCTCTGTGAGTTGCTTTGCATCTACTGATCTTAAATGTCTGCAGTACTCCTTACCGTCACCTCAGGAGATGTTTTTCTAGCCAACAAAGTCATTCAAATTCAGTATCTTTCTGTAATTTTTGTATTTTAGAATGAGACAAAGTGCTTTACAACATGGCCAAGATTTAAAATGTTTTCTAAACCCTGCTTACCTCAGCTTCTATGAGAAGCCCATCCCTTCCCATACCCAGCCAGTCACTTTCTTTCATCAGGGTTTATTTCCTTGGTCTGGCTTGGCCCACAGGAGGCTAGGACAGTATAATTACAGGATTTGCTTGCACTAAACAACAATCGGAATTCTTTCCTGTGCAGAAAAACCTGTGCCAGCATTTTTAAAGATTAGCCAGAAGCCAAGTATTAAAGCACCCAGATGATGAAGAACAACGGTCTGGGAAGGACTTTTAACAAATTGTGCCATTTAAATGCAGGAACTTACTTTCTTTCGCATGTGTTTGCAAATCTTACCCCTTCAAAACATGATCCAATTGCAGATCTTAGCAGCTTTTGGAAAAATGCCGCTCCGCGTCCCTTTGAGCATAAAAATTGCTGCCAGCTACATTCCGTCAGCTCCTTCCTGGCGACCATTCCCCGTCCCTTTTGGATATTCGTGGAAGGTCCCAAGGACATCTGGAGCTGTGTCTGCACGCCACATGTGCAGGGGCCGCCAGCCGGCTTCTCCCCGCAGCTACCTGGGATGGGCACCGACACCCCACGGCTCCTTGCAAGGAGCTCCTGGAAAGGAGCCGCTGCAGAGCGCTGGGGCTGGTGGTTCTCCCAAATCAACCAAAGCCACCCAAAGGAGCGCGTGTCACCTGTGGCAGTGTGCTGGGGACAGTGCCTGAAGCCCGCCAGTGCGAGCCAGACTTGCTGAAATGTGTTGACTGAAGCGAAGAGCAGACTGATCTCATGTTGGAGCAGAGCTGAGCTGCGGTGTTTGGCTGGGCTCGGTCTCATCCTTGGGAGCCTTAAAGCTGTGCT